AGTCATTCATGGTAATAAGCGGCAATTACGAGACTCACCTACCATCGATGACTGTCTCGGGATGGAAACTTCCTAACCGTAATCAGAAAAATGATGGCAGACCCGCACAAATAAGTATTGCCGTACTTTTGTTTGCGAAAAGACCATGACTTAAGAGTTATTTCACGGTTTCGAAGACCAATCATACCAGGGCTAGTCGCCGCAGTATCGGCTTTTGGATATCAGTTAGCCATGACTATCCTATACCATGTTTTTTTTTGAAGTTAGTCGAGAAACGCAGACGTTTCGGCTATAATTATGTGCTTGTGATTAGGGGTGGTTTGACCCCGGTGGTCTGGAACAGCATAATTGATGACACCTGTTTGTTGCGTATGATTCTCTCTTCTTCTATGTGGCACAATAAGGGTGGTCCCAACTCTCTTACGGCGCACTAGGCGCGCCTGAAGAATGAAACAGTATAAGAAAACTTCCATAACTCCGCCTCGACGAATCGTTCCGCAAATTTTGAAGACTAGTTTCGAGTTATACTGTGTCAAGATGAGTACAATAGGTGTCTTGTGCGTTTTCTCATTTTTGTACTGATGGCTTGTGTTTTGTCTTTCCTGTTGACCTCGTTCCTGGTTAAACACTGACTTTTGTCGTTTGCTGGGACTGACTATTTTATTCTTCTTACATGATGCACTTCCCAACTCCAGACCAACACTGTATGCATCCAAGGAGATCGCGTTGTGAGATCAAATTGGGTTGCATGGGGAATTGCGTAAGGCAACCGAGTATTAAGTGTCCATCAAGCAAGGGATTAAGCACCTGAAGCGCGAAACAGTCGAGGATTCAACAATTATCTTAATATAACGCGGATCATCTAGATGGGTTTTACGGGAGGGAAGGTCGTGGGGCTGGTTCTAATTGTGGCATGCAATGTGGCGGCAGAGAAGGCAGTATATAGTCTACTTTGAGTGACCTCAACAGTGCACCTGTTTGGACAGACATCGGCCGATGACGCATAAAAGTATCACTATTCTCACTCGCCTGCGACTATACCGCACTCTTTGGTACATCGTGCAGTATCGATCGTGTGTGTGTGTGTGTGTGTGTGTGTGTGTGTGTGTGTGTGTGTGTGTGTGTGTGTGTGTGCGACCTCGTTCGTCGTTTTGTTCGTGAAAGTTAATAATAGCGCGCGTCACAGGAACGGTGGGACATTGGTTCCAAGAAGTCATGTGTACACGAGGACGGGAACACCATTAGTGGGTGAGAGCAGCTGATGACAGATGATAAAATCCCATGACAGGCCTTTGAGAGGCACATCATGAGGATTCCCTGTCACTTGCAAAACTATTTCCAATACTAAACTATTCTCATTCCTCCTTTAATTCTCATTTCACATGTTGCATAAAGTGAACTTTTTTAATGCTGAATGGCAGTACAATGAACCACCACTCACCGTCTGCACGTAATCATGTAAGACGTTTGCTACCACAATCTAATACACTAGAGCACCTGAAGCAGCAGGAGGCTTCAGCCGCATAGAGGCACACCGAAATGAACGGTTCCGCGGCTCATCTGACGATGTGTTTAAGTTCTCGCATGAGTTTTGGATTTTTTTTCAGAGCCGTCCAGACAGTAGGACTGGCGGAATACAAGGTTTGTGCAGTACTCGTAGGACCCGTGCCCAGAATCTACTTCGGTCTACTAGCAGGCTTTGGTGCACGAGACAGTGTGCGTAGAAAAATAAAGCCAAAATAATTACATACTGAGGCAGGCGCACGGTCGCTTCATGTAGATATTTTTCTTTCGCCCTGAGTTTCGAACGACGGTGTTGTACACGTATTCACATTTTCTGCAGAACAACGTAAAAACTAAGAAAACTTTGAGTCTCACCTAAAATGGTCACGCACATTGTTAACTTCCTTGAATCGCGATACGCCTCCTGCCATTAAGAATGCCCATACGACACTGCAATAAGGGAAGATGTTTTCCACAATGGCAAATTTCTTTAATCCTGTTTGAAAAAATTATATTGATAAGAAGTTATCGGATTCTGTAGACAAGTCGATTTCACTGAATGAGACCTTCAACTCCACAGCGATTCTTTGTTCTACGAAATGACATAATTCAGAATTTTAGGCTGCCTACTTGACTTTCTTGGGTCCCTTCTTTTTGACAAAATGCAACGAATTATTCTTAGTAGCCAGTGCTCTCGAGCTTACAGATCAAAGAAGTACCAAAAGCTTCCCTTGCAGCTCCAGTGTTCACTCTTTAGACTGGTGATTTGGCAAGTTTCTAACAGCAGGAGTGCACTCGATATTTACACATCATCATCGACATCGAAATTTTATGCATGGATCAACCTATCTTGTTTAGGGCGGCATTGGAACCCCTCCTATATGATTTGTAAATAGGAAACTGGTATCCCAGGTAAAAGACAACTACGGCGAACTTTGCCTTGGTGGGGGAATCTTTGCTGATCCCCATCGATTACGTCGATGCCTCCTGTGGAGACCTATATAATCTCAAAAGACTAAGCAGTAGCAGGAACATTGTTGACACTTGACAAGAGTCTAGAGGATTCACCAAGGTGTAACAGGAACTAGCAAAGGAAGGGATAGCCGGGTGGGTAAGAGTGCGGACTCATGTTCGCAATCAGAGCCACGAGTTTGATCCCTGATGAGGCAGAAACCATGCCTTGCAAAAATTGCGAAAATGGGGACGATAACAGCGTCAGGCCCAGGTTGACAGGCCGGCTGATGGAGGAACCCGTCACAACAATCATGAAAAGTGGCAAAAGTATCATTGTTAAAGTTAGGACGCCACCCGGAAAAGGTGCGCAGAACCGTCGCCCAAGTTCTGTGGTCAGGATGCGAGGGATACCGAGGGTTGAACGACCTCGGCCAAAGAACCTACTTCGAATTGGGACCGTGACCGTGGGGTCGCTTACCGGGAAGTTTCGCAAGGTATCCGACCTTATAAGACGCGAAAAAAACAAGTCTTCAAGAAAGTCCATGCCTTCAAGAAACGCAGAGTGTAGGAGGAGTGCGAAGGCCTACGAGATTGGAGAAGTTGTCAAACTCTCCTACAATGGAGGAGACAAAGGGAATGCCGTGGCCATAGCAGTGGCAGATCCCTCAAGGATTGCGTCTCCTCTGCGAAGAGGATCAGTGATCGGATCACGGGATTGAGAGCGGACATGAAGGAGGGGTACTAAACAGTACTGACCGTGTACGCACCGCAATCCGGTTGCTCCGAGGCGGAAAAGGATAACTTCAACCTTACCCTGGACGAGGCCATAACATCTGTTCCTAAGATTAAGATGACAACCTCACCGTGGCTGGGGATCAGAATGGTATGTGGGAAGTGACAGAAGGGGCCTAGAAAGAGTGCACGGAGGTCAGGGAATAGGAGCAAGAAACGCTGAGGGAGAACGAATTCCTGACTTAGCCACAGCCCGCGACTAAGCGATCTGCAGCACCTTTACGAAAAGGAAGACTCAACCGATAACCTACAGCAGGCGAGGGAGACAAACCGAAATCGACCATGCCCTGGTGAGAAGGTCGTCTCTCAAAACCGTCAAGGATACAAAGGTACTGCCTGGGGAGGAGCTAGGCCCTCAGCACAGGCCTTTCCTGACAGACATCGCCATAGGCCTTCCCAAGAAGGCGAGAGTGAGAACAGAGCGGAGAATTCTGGTGGAAAATGTGCAAGGTAAAAAAGGATAGCTTTGGCCAAAGAATACTGGATGCTGGGCTCCCAGACCCACATGGGCCAGTCCAGGACAGCGGAATGAGTTACTTGTAGGATATTCCAGTCTTGTCTAGCATTGTAAAATGTATTTACAAAAATAAATTTATAAGTTACAAATTCTCAATCGCAAATAACTATAGAAAGATAAATAGACTAGTAACAGGAATTCTCATTTGCAGCGCTAATTCTCCTCCTTCCGCTACACCTTTTAATTGATTTGATTGTTGTAATCCGCTTGGACACTGGTAGATAGTCAACATCTTTCAGTATGTTTAACCTATTATCAATCCAATTTTCCTTCCTCCTACACGTATTTACTACTCATATCGTGTTGTATCACTCTTTTATTATGTATAATTGGCCATCATCTTGATATGCATGAACTTTGCATTTATACCCCTTTACAGAACTTTGCATGTATACCCCTTTACTTTTACATTCTCTCTCGTTTTATCCTATTTCTCAACACCTTCCCCTATGTTGTCCATGTCCTCATGTCGTCAACCTGTCGCACTGACGAGCTCTGGGGTTGGCTGACAATGATGATTCGTTTGCGATACTGAGCGAAATGGATCACCTGTGCTCTGGAGTGTATTCCTTTCCCAATGTTTCCTTTCCTTTGCTTCTAATTGGACAACTGTCACCTTGTTCTTTGTTGGACAGAGACACAACCACAATGGTGTCAAGATGAAAGCATCTCACCAGAAGCAAGTCCCTTCTTCAATTAAACCGCGCAGCCCGCCTAGTCGATCTCAGGGATTTCGAGTAGAGATGTAGGAACGCTCCTTCTGCCAGGAGAGAACTCGACTGTAATTAGGGTTTAAACTTTTGACGGATCCCTGACCACTCTGCCTGAACCAGCAACGTCCACATTTCCGTAGTGCTGCCGCAGTCGTGCTCTCCAGTCTGACACGGTTTTGGTAGACGGCAAGAATTTGATAGATGCAAGGAACTGAGAGTCAAGGGTAACTGAGAGGGACAGAGATATACGCTCATCGTATTTGTTTCTTATTGTCATCTTGTTGCTGTTCGGCTTAGGGATGGGACATTCTGTCAGCTCGGTAATTCTTTCGTTCGTTCCCGTAAACTAATACGTCTCACTCTCGTGAGCCCTGCAATTTCTGAATCGGCATGATACAAGCGAGCAGCTTCTATCACAGAAGTTAACGGATTCTTTCAAGGTGACCTTTACGGATTTGCTGGTATCACTTGTGCTTTCACTGGGCCGAATTGCGCGGCTACATTTTATCTCCGTCGCTGATCATCATCGGTAGCGGTAAAGCGGTGTTATTGCGACCCTCGCCCACCAAAAGAGGGTTCCATTCACGCACGCACAAAATTCAAAAGTTCCATGGTAACTTAATTAGCTGACATAACAACATGCTTACACGACTTTTTGCTAATATTACAATGTCCTTGAGAACCTGTTCCTCAGACACTAATGAATTTTCTCATATAAAATGTATAGGGTTTACTTTGTTACGCACGCGTCGTCTTCACGCTCAGGGGAGCAAGTTCTTTCACAAGCTGCTGCTGCCGCTGCTAATAAAATCGGGGGCAATTAACGAGAGAACCGGTTTCTCTCTACTAGCTCAGTGCGGATCTGCTGCAAAGCGCGGTCCACATAAGCAAAATATTTACTTAGGCAGCGTTCAGACTTGTAGCACTACGGCGTCGTGCACTATAATGCATTACCAGGGCCACGGGTTCATCTGTATTCATCCGGCCACCTAAAGATAATCTGTATCGTACCGGGGTCTTGTTTCCTGCCAGGTGCGAGGTGAATGGGCACTGCAGTGGTGTGCCATTTTCTCCGCTCAAAAGTGCACTGGAACGGGTCCAGAAGATAGTGACAAATAGGTCCCGTTCATGGACTTCACCCCCGCAGCCGCATGGCTGGCCAAAGGTAGTGTTCAGACGCGCCCGCGACGACGCCCTTGACGCGCTACCATTGCGGGGCGCTCCAGGACCATAGACGCGAATGCGGCCGCGGCGTTGGTAGTGTATAGAGA